TATGCTTTATTTGGGTCGATAGTAAGGTGAGTATACACTGATACTGCTGCCAGTACCACCAACGCCCCAAGACCGTCAAAGTAATGCACTCGAGGCTTGGGCTGCGTGCATTGGTGGACTGCGACAACAAATCAGCCTCATCTTAGCGAGCGGAAAGACTCGTCCTAGGATATTTGCGTGAATAAGTTCATTGAAGCCTCTGGTTTTTACGACTGTTAGAGCCCAGTCAACCGATTCAGCAGCGACAACAACATGTGCAGTAACGCGGGCAATTGCAATACATATGGCAATAACCAACAATGTCTAAAACCCGTATTCAAGCAGGCTGAACTCTCTGATGATTGCAAACGGATCGTGCTTACCGCAGTCCGCAAGGCCACTATGCTCTACTGTCATGAGGATGAAATGGCCAAGTGCATTCGTATAGAACTGAACGAGAAGTTGAAGGGTCTTTGGCATGTAATTGTGGGAAAACATTTTGCCAGGTACCTTCCATTACCTTCTATTCAAATTTAAATAACATTCACTTAAATCATTTCAAGACGTTAAGGTGACACTGCAACTAGAACTGAAATAGACAGTAGGAGTTTAAACGGTGAAGATATGAACACAGTGCAACAGAATTTAGGTCAATTAATCGCTCATTTCTTTAGTTCTGATCGTTAACGTGTTAGATATGATTAATGTTACTGAAGCCTACATATGAAATTTACTCGAAAGATGGAGGAATCCACGGTTCATTTCCATAGTTGAAATTTTAAAATGACTCCACTGATCAAGTTGATGGTTGTATCTCTATTTATATAATATCAAACATGTGTGGAACGGAAAACAAATATCCATCAGCCTAAAAACATTGCAGATGCATGGCTTTCCCTTCTGAATAACATGTATGTTGCTCTTTTTAGTTTCTTCACCTATACTCCCGGGCTAATGGCTCACGTACTATACGGAGACATGCAGTTCCTGGTGTACCAGTATCAGGGAAATGCGTAAATGTAACCGTCAATTTTTTTTTCCTCTTATGCCATTTTCGACCCCCGGATCAATAAATCCTTTAATATTTTGCACCCTTTTTCTTTCTTGGCTTCGTCGAAGAAATGGTTTACTTTGAGGGAAGCCTTAAATGGTGTGAACGGGATATATGCAAAACAACTTCCCAAACTTACGAATATAAGGTTCTTGCTACAGATGTGCGGTTTCAAACCTACCGTAGACCTCAAATTACCTATTAACAGGTACACAAATGGGAAGAACAGATGTCCAATAATGTGCACTTTAAGATATTCAATTTGGGTCTTCTTCAATTTTAAGAAAAAGGCCTGCTGTAAGCATGTTGAAATAAACAACCAAAGAATGTAAAAACGATACTTAACTGAACCAAAAGTATCCTAGGTAGGAGAGAAAATAATCTATCTATTGTTGTTATGATATTTACTGCAGTGGCAATTCATTGGTGATCGTGTAATTTAACAAATGTCTGCGAGCGAGAAAGCAAGTTACTATTTACATTCGTTGTTTTGCTTAAACCAAATTCAGTAGGGAATCTCAAGAGTGCCGTAATCAACTTGTTATATGTTTTCTATTTCAGCTTACATAAGGTATAAAACAACTAAATCCTCCAAAATCGCAGGAGGTCTCACTAAATAACTGTAAAGGAAATTCAGTTATGCAAAACGCTCCACCAAAATCCACTGAACAAATCCTTCTTTTTTCAACAAAACGTGATTAAAAAGCGAAAAAAGATGCATCAAAACATAGATTTTGATTTCGACTTTCAGATGAAAAACAAATAGGCTATGAACCTCGGCCTACAGGATTGAGGAAAAGGAAGTATGACTATGTTGTCACACTGACAATTTCCGTCTCTCTATAGGAAACTCGTGCTACGGATATTTTGGTTTGTAAAAGCTACATATTAAGATCCGAACATTCTTTTGCAAATGGCTTAAATGTATTTAAATAATTCACCAATTTTCAAAAGACGATCGTGAATAAATCGAATTATAATTGCATGGTATCTTGGTGGCAAAATAAACCACAATGTCAAGGCTTATGAAGTTTGTCATTGTTCCAAGATGTTTTAGTATACACACCACCTCTGCGTGGGTCTGTACCTAATCGTTAAACGGTTTTTAATTGAATTAATAAAGCTAAGCTTAGTCTAACTTTCCGGAGAAAGTGAATGTTTGTTAAAAATGAGGACTGCAAATTGCATTATTCTTGCCTGAACGCTACCGAAACACTACCAGTTATAACAAGATAATTTATTTGCTAGGCATTTGCATGAATTTTGTTAATCATGCCACGGGAATTTCAAGACAGCAGTTGTAAAAACAGTTTTGCCTAGTGCATGTGGTTTTGCTGTATAACTTAGGATGTAACGTGCACAACTGTTTTTCATCGATAAGCGCGTACAAGTGTGACTCTCGTTAGACACATACGGATGTAAACTATACCTTCAAAGTAGGGTTCCCTAGTACTGTGACTCTAATCAACGATTTATGAGCCCGCGTATGAAAATGGCAAGTGGGTAACTCTTCCCTTAAAACACTGCTTCTCCGACATTTAAAAAAATCTAAAGTATATTAATTGCGAGTTTGTTTGTAGACAGTCAAAAGTCTGAAGAAACCTCACGGAGGAGGGCGTTTTGTAAAACTAAAAACAATAACTTATGTAAAATTTTATTTTTCTTTGCGAATGTACATTTTCTTACAAAGTTCAAATCTCACAGTACGAGTAGGTGCTTAAAGCTGTTGAATACATTCATACCATACCTTTTGCTTATCGCCAAGAAAATCCAATTAGAATAAATGGACACTATTTCATTCAAAATGCAGGACAAAGAAAGAAATAGGAAACCACAGTCTTTCGTCGGTCTCGCGCTATTTTCATGGATGGTCAGCCGGTTTTAAGGTTGGGGTTTAAGTTTGGCTTATGCCCAATGATAAGTTCGTGAGTCCCTTACATTTGCACTGAGGTGAAGTTTCCGTAATGCTAACTGCATAACTTTATTTCTTATTCCCTAGCCATAAGAAGTGAATGTTTCTTGTTTATATTAAACTTTGTGGCGAAAGTTCTTGCTGTTGATATGTTCCCGTAACAGTGCATTAAGTCCACTGAGGGGTAATTGCAGGCCTGTTCGCGTACGTGGACTGAGGCTTATTTTTGCACAATGCAAAAGCAAAATTTCGTTATATTATGCAATCTACCTCCTCATGATTTAATTGTATACGGTCTTTGATTGCGGTCAAACGTAATAGACCAATAATAACCAGGGACTAATTATCTGCCCAGACAAAAATATCCTAATACCTGCCTTCAGTAGCGGATGCTTGTAAAAATAACGGGTTATAAATTACACCTCGGAATCTTATTTTCACGCCAGCCTGTATAATTGTAAAATGAAAAGGGATGCTGAAAAGTTAAAACGCCAATTTTTTGTCGTTATGACTGTATTTACTAAAGCTACTAATATGGGCAATAGTGAAAGGGCAAAAGTGTTTATTTACCGCTCTCTAGATTGAACCCAATTCAAAATTAAGAGCTCTTTGAGTATCATTTTGCACAGCGTTGCACATAAGATTTATCATCTCTTATAACTTCTGCAAATGCTTTAATGGTTTACCGTCCGTAGTTAATTTTTAAGCTTCGTTATACAGTACAGCGTGGAAGTCATGCAAAATGCCGATGTTTGTGGAAGATTGTTCACCACTCGCAAACCGGCGTTAACGCATGAACGAAAAATTAGAATTCATATTGAACTGAATAAGACAAATTTGATATTTAAAAGAAATATAAAAAGTACTAATTTTTTTAAGAAAAACAATTTTCTTCATTGTATTTAAGTTCTGCAGACGTAAAATAAGCTATAATTTAGAACAATAAAATTAATTCTCAACAAAAGCGAACATGCGAGTCCCAGGTAGTACTTGAAAAGAAGACGACCCGATCGCTGGGACAATATGTTTTTTTCGCCTGACGTTTCGACATCCGTCGCAGATTCATCATCAGAGACATAATCACCGAACAACAGCAGATACAGGTAGTTTGTGCACAGGAGTCTGCCGTTAAATGTAAACGTGTAGAAAAAATCGATAAATACTTGGAGTGTGTGCTGATTCGTTACGTTAGCAATGAACATCTGGTCCTGCGGTGTTGGCATTAGATGATGCGGTGGCCTGTCTGTTCCCCGAGTGGTGACTTGCTTTGGCCAAATCTAGTCTCAGTACCGAATGTAGATCGGGCAAATCGTTGCACTTGTTGATGGATTGGGGGCCTGTGAATCATGACTCAAGTAATTCTCGGCTTCCCGGTTGTCACCTTCTGCAAGAGCCGCAAATTACTTGAGTCATGGTTCACAGGCCCCCAATCTATCAACAAGTTCAACGATTTGTCTGATTTACATTCGGTAATGAGACCAAATTTGGCCAAAGCAAGTCACAACTCGGGGAACAGACAGGCCACCGCATCATCTAATGCCAACACCGCAGGACCAGATGTTCATTGCTAACGTAACGAATCAGCACACACTCCAAGTGTTTATCGATTTTTTCTGCACGTTTACATTTTACGGCAGACTCCTGTGCACAAACTACCTGTATCTGCTGCTGTTTGGTGATTATGTCTCTGATGATGAATTTGCGACGGATGTCGAAACTTCAGGCGAAAAAACATATTTTCCCAGCGATTGATTCGTTTTCTTCTCAAAATTAGGTTTTATTGTCAGTTGAATGGACAGCCATACCATTTTCTCTATATCAAAAGGGCTTTCCATCAGTCAGACGTTTTTCATATTTCCGTTACTGGATTACAATAAGTTTAAGACTGTCTTTTAACTTACAGTCTATGTGCGAGTGCTCTCAAGCTTCTTTTCTATTAATCCGGTTTCTAATCGAAGTTTATATCTAGAACATCCAAAATATGATATCTATCAAAAACATTTAACGAAAAATGACTTGTTTGATATTAATTTTTATGAAGATGGCCATGAAGACCGTACTTATAAACTATTTGAACCAAACCACATTGTGGAGCAAAAAGAAAGTCCACAACGAAAGTCTGATAACGTGATTGTTAATCTTAACAAAAAAAAATGTTTCTATGATAGCTTACCTTTTCAAAAAGCACTTTAATTAGATATTTAGCTGACAATTACCTGTGCATTGTACCTTCTTCAAAGATTATTTCAAATTGAAAATGGAGACTGTTGACAAGCTTCTTAATTTACCTGAAAACATCACTTTTTGCTTTTATTGGAGTATTTTTCACCGCAATTCATTACTTTTAGGCTCTATTCGATGATTTTAAATTCGAAAAAGGCTAGCCGAATATATATTGAGATTTTGCGAACATTTTTCATTTTCTGCCTGTTCCGTCTCTTATTTAAGAATAAGCAGAAATTATATTGTACAAAAACGCAGATTCCTATATGCTTTAGATTAAACGAGATTGGTCTTTAGCTTTACCGGAATATATTTTAAGCTTTTTT